GTCACCTTTAATCTTCATCAGAGGTAACATGAACGCGCAGCGTTATATCCACGAAGTTTTAGAACCCCATCTTTTACCCTATCTTGACACCCTTGCAGATCCAACTTTCCAACAAGATAATACCCGACCACATGTTGCAAGAGTCACAATAGACTTCTTTCAATATAATGATGTCACATTGTTACCATGGCCACCAAGATCTCCCGACTTATCCCCAATTGAGCACGTGTGGGATATGATGGGTAAGAGATTGCTCAATTTGCAACGTCCTCCTCAGACTCTAGAAGCACTTCGAGAGGAGTAGGTGGTTGCCTGGAATGAGATACCACTGGAGGACATTGACCACCTGATCAGAAGCATGCCTAGGCGCGTTGGAGAATCCGTAGCACATCAGGGTGCATCCACACATTATTAAAGGTCAAAGGGCTTTAAAGCAGTGCAATCATTTTGAAATTTTTATCATTACTTATTATGCTTCATTAAGTACTAATACAAAATTTTATTATAATAAAACCATTTAAACTGGGTGTTCGGATTTATATGTCACTTAGTATATATTCGATATTTCAATAGAAATACATATTTCGATAAAGTCTTTTCCGTCAAATATTATTGTTGGTGATCCACTCTAAATTATATACAGGGTGTTTTCAAAGTTGAGTCATTTATTCTAACAGCTTGTAGAACTCGTCAGAAGAAGTCGATACACCAAAAACCACCTACATTAAGTTGCATAATAGGAGTTGATCAATCATTAAAAAAAACTGTTCAAAATTAACCTCATTTGTTAGATCAACGCAAAATCTTGCTCGATGAATCCACGACTCTTTACAAGCTTCGAAAATAAACTCCTGGGAACCACGAATTAGATCACAGGCGTTTTCAATGCGCTGTTGAAGTTCTTCCAGAGAATTTACCGCATCATCATCATACACCAACTCTTTCGAATAGTCCAACAGAAAAAAATCGCAAAGCGTTAAATCCGGGGAGCCAGCAGGCCAAGAAAAATGGGTCCATTGCGCCCTATCATCTATTCGGAAACCCACACTTAGACGAATATCTTCTAATAAATGATTATAGCAAGAAAATAAATTTCAGAGCATGCGAATTTTCTACTGCCCAAACATGATTGTTGTAGAAATTGTGTGGCCTCGTCTGTACGCAAACTGAATTTCGCAAAATCTTCGTGTCTGCTGAACTGTTCTAAAAGCCACTGGCAAAATGCAACTCTCCTAGGATGATCTTCAGGTTGTAACACTTGTACCCGTTGATAGTGGTAACGATCATACTGTTCTTATCGTATTGTCTTAATCACTTTACTTTGAAAAACTTCAACTTGAGCTGCTATGACTCTAGTACTCATTGTTTAGTCGTTTTCGACCATTTCTAGAATGTCTTCCTCAATTTGTAGCATTTCAGGTTGGGCAGGTCTTTCAGCGTGATCTCCTTGTTGTTCTTTTAATATTTTATTTAAATATTCTGTGTCACGAAATCTAAATTAAATTTACACACATCCTTGGGGCAGGATGATTTCCTAAAGGAAACCTTTTCGCATACAACCTGCATGTTGTGGATGCATTTTGTTGGTAATCTCCGTATGTTAGTATTATGTCCACTAGTTCATTGTTTTCGTAAATATGAGCCATTTTTGACACAAAATAATCAGGCAAGTGAAAGTATACGCATTATTAAAAGACTAACCGAAGACTCCTACTGAAAAACATACGATAACACAAAAAGTTTGTCCAAGTTAGATAAACGATAAAAGTAGTAAACAAGAAACGCTAAAGCAGCGTTCTCACGAGTCGATTTTAGTTGATCAACTTAGGAATATTTGTTCACACACCTAATAAAAATTGATGCGCTAGTTGTTTCTAAAATGGCTGCCAACGAAGTTGTCCAAGCAGGCATATCAGCTATTTACGAATTATTAAATGAAGAAATCAGAGACATTTTGTCAAAATTTGATAGAAAATCTAGAAAACGTCGGTTATGGGTCAGGACTTGGGTATTGCGAAGAAATAACTTGGGCGTTTCAGGAACCCTGCTCAAGGAGCTGGCTTTAGAGGACAAGGATGCTTACAAAAATCATTTGAGAATGTCCGAAGAACAATTTCAATTTCGATAACTCTCGAGCAGGGTGTTCCATAAACTGTCATGCTGTTGATATAAATGCAAAAAATATAGCACAATACTTTCAGACCACTTCATGCTCATTTTTTCTCATTTTTTTCCACACACAACAAGCACACGAGCCACAAAATGAACTTTATTCAATGCGAAACTCGACTGACTACAGTTCACACGCTTCAAATCCGTTTCAACTTGTCCGAAAATCGCCTATGACGCATTAAATTGATCGATAAGTTTTGAATGGATCAAACGTTTTCGGTTCAACTAAAATTGATCAACTAAAATCGAAAACACGGTTCACAAGTATATTTTTATTTGATTTTTGTTGATCAATAAAAATCGTTCTACTAAAATCGACTCGTGAGAACGCTGCTTAAGATTTTACACGGCAGTGTCCGGGAATATAAAAAAATATGCGTAATAACATTCTTACTTTTTTATTAGTTTTTTACTATTTCTTTTATTATACAACTTTTACATAGGTGATTTTTGGTATATCAACTCCTTTTGACGAGTACTACAAGCAGTTGACATAAATGACTCAACTTTGGAAACACCCTGTATATATATATATATACAGGGTGTTTCAGTTTATTGTTGCATAACTTTAAGATTCGATAGAACTTTTAAAATTAATGCATAAAGTCGGAAGCCACGCATTAATTTTAAAAGTTCTATCGAATCTTAAAGTTATGCAACAATAAACTGAAACACCCTGTATACTTATAATGAAGTTTTTTTCCGGTGCCGTGAATTGCGTGCTTTCTGACCTCCCCTCGTATTCACGTTTTCTCGAAGACGTTAAATTTTAGATTAACCATTAATTATAGTTCCGGTATTCTGGGATAGGGTCCTGTTCTATATATTATTTTGTCTACTATAAAGAGTTTTGAATCCTCAAGCAAACCTGATGTTTTATGACATACCACAGTCGTCTTTGTTGCCATGTGTTACACCCAGAAATAGACAGAAATTGATATTTTTCGTTTTCGGTATTAGAATTTATTATAATGAATGAAACGATTTAAATCAATTTTTAAGCCTTGTGGTAGCACTAGACGATATTCAGGACGTCAGGAATGCGTTATGAGGCAGGACTAATAGGTTCAGGGATTTGCAGGGGAAAAACAATACGCCAAAGTGGCGTATTGAGGCACAGGCTGAAATAGGCATTTAGTGCCCTTATAACGAATGAGAAGTCTTTCTTCCACATTCAGATGCCTTGGGGGACTTGTCACACAACCCTCTTGGTGTTGTGAGCCGTGTAAGGTCCCTAGCAGTGGGCAAACAGGTACTAAGGTCCCTTTTGGTTGTAGTCCAGGTTTAAATGCACTTTAGAGTGGTCAGCGTGCGGGAATTGCAACCTGCACGAGCTGATGCACTGCCGGTCGCCGGGAAGGCGCTACAACTGGCTATAGGCCCTTTTGGGACTTGAAACTCTGCAGGTTCTGATCTAGCCCTTGGGAACGAGATGCCCTAGGGGGGCACTCATTTTATATGACACGCCATAAGGAATCGAATAGAAATACTGGATTTATTTTTTTTTTGAAATTTTGCTTACCGTATAGAGCCTAATCCAGAACCCAAGTGATTTTATTTTTCTCTGATTGACTCGTTCTTTAGTCATAGAAATTGTATACAGTGTATATCTTTGTCATACGAATTTTAAGAAGAGAGTTGTTTGTTTTCCGTTTATTTTTGAATATTGACCGAACTAGTTTGCTGAAGGAAAAATTAACTGCGGGTTAGATTTTGAGAATATTTTAGAACAAACCGTCTATGAATGGGTTTACCAGCTTTAGCGTAATTTACATTTGAGCCTTAGTGAATTGTTTTGAATTCAAGTTGAGGGATAGGAATTTAAAACTGGAACGGCGTAAATGAGATATTTCTTATTAAATCTTGATACGTACGTTTGAACTTGGTCTAAGCCTGCGTTGGCCCTAATGGATTTATCTGGTGGCAAATAAGAGCTGACCAGTGGCTTGATTTTAGGAGTTTTATAATTGCTTTGGGGTTCAAGAAGTAAGTCAGGGAGGCACATCTTTGTCTGCAGTGTGCTTACTTCCCTGGGGTGCAGATTGAAATCCAAGCGAGAACGAGACAAACAGAGCTTGAAGTAGACGCGGGTTAACTAAACGCCTGGTCTTATTCTTCACCCAAACATACCATATTGCTCAAAACCGTTCAATCGCTTTAGGCTTATCGCATCGCATTCGCTTGCTAGCTTGACCGCATACGGCTTCCGCTTTAACCGTTGCTTTTTAACCGCTTTTGATTCCGTTTGACCCAGAGTTAACCGATTGTCCTCCTTCTCCGCTCTATCTCTAGGTAGCTAGATTCAGATAGGGATTTCCCTCATTTGTACATATAACTTGAGATATACCGACCGTGCATGAAGTGTAGTAGAGAAGAGGTAGAAGTAAAGAGTAAGTAGTAAGTATCTCGACCCTTTGAGCGTGAAGCATCAAATCCCTGAATTATTTTCTTCACTGAAGCTACTCAGGTGACTGTTTCAGTCTATAGTCTTGTCTCCACACTCTAAACAGGAGGCTGGCGTCCGAGGAGTTGCTGAACTAGAGAGGCAGGTAGTTCGCCAGTTAGTGACCCCGCGTTATAAACTATAAAAATGCCTATTACTGTATACGCGACAGAATAAATAAAATATTAAACGCTACCAAAATGTCTCAGTTTTAATAGTGACTTAAATTTATGATAATTTGCTGTATCCCTAATATTGATGTCTAATGCATTACAGACAAACTCTTGGTTGCCGAGTACTCGCAGCGTTCCTGTATTCAATAAGTATCCTATAATTACCAACTGAAATAAAAAATCTTTACACTTTGACACGTTTATGAACTTACCTTGTTGCGACTGATACCATTGACAGGGAAGGTCAAACTGTCAACCTCGACGTCACCGTGTTTGCCGACATGCCACACAACGATTGTAGCCACAGGAGCCATCTCGGCGCTCAAGACTATCGCCATTGTGCTCACGAAATCGTTCATGTCTTGGTCGCCAGTTAAAAGAACTATGCCTTTAGAGATGATCAGGTAGCTGAATTTGTCGATGTAATAGTTACTTCTGATGTGGAATATCATATATTCGCCGACCTGTAAGAATTATTACTTCCATTATAGACAATGCATCAAAATCTAAATTGATGGATTGTATAGATGCCCGAGGTGACAATAATGAACAGTAGCAGACAAAAGTTTGTAAACAAATATTAGCATATACAGGGTGCGCCATCTTTTATGTCGGTATGTAAACATGAATAACTTTGAAAACGGAAAATTGGGAGCAGTTTTTGAACACAACATCTATCAAGTGGCCACCATATTGGCCAAAATAAAATATGCCCGTTTTGCTGCGTTTTCCATTATTTTTTCGAGCATCTCTGGTGGTATAGCGCAACTGCGGTACGAATGTTTGCCTAGAGTTCTTCAGTGGTCTGGGGTTTGCTGACGTACACTTGACTTTTCAAATAACCCCACAAGATGAAGTCCGATGGGGTCAAATCTGGAGACCTGAGTCGCCAGTCAATTTCACCTATTTTTGACATCAGACGTCCAGGGAATTTTCGTTGCAGAAACTGGATTGTTTCATTTGCAGTGTGTCATGGCGCACCGTCTTGTTGAAACCAGTAACCATCAAGACCTTTATCACGCATTTGTGGGCAGACATAATGAGCCAACATCCACCGATATCGATTTCCATCGATTGTTTCGTTTTCGTTGAAGAAAAATGTCCCAATCATGATTTTGGCGCAAACGCCGGCCCAAACAGTCACTGTCCGGTCATGCAACGGCATTTCGTGGACCTCATGTGGATTTCCCGTCCCACAAATGCGGCAGTTTTGCCTATTAACGCCGCCAGAGAGCGAGAAATGGGCCTCGTCGGTCACCACAATTTGCTTCAAAAAATCAGACTCAGCATCAACCATGCGAGCGACGTGGACGGTCAGTTGGCAATATGTTTTGTGTTAACTGCACATTATAAGGAAACAAATGCAAATCATCCTTCAAAATGCGCCGCAACGGGGTTCCACTGATGCCAAAATGCTGAGCGCGGTGACGATACGACACTTTTGGGTTCTGGTCAACGCTGTCTCTGACCGCTTCAACCAAGTCATTGGAACGTCTTGGTCGTTGATGAACGGTATGTTGACGATCTTCCACTGTCCCGTACTCAAGAAAATTCGAAACGAAGCGACGGACAGTGTTGTCAGACGGTGCCTGTTTGCCACGATATGTTCGACGATATGCACCGTCGCGTTAACACAACTGAACGACGATTTTCAATGTACATTGTGACTATTTCGGAGCGTTGTTTCGGTGTAAAGCGATTCATGACTAAAATTGTAGTAAATTGACGTTTCAGAAACACGTATAACCAAATCACCCGGTTGGTAAATATCAAAGTGATTCGATGTTTCAATACCAACATAAAAGATAGCGCACCCAGTACCTAATTAAAATTGTCAAGGAACAGATAAAATAAATATTAAAGTCTACCTTTGGCTAACGTACTAATACAAGGTTTATCTTATCAACATTCAAATAATCTGGAAATAAAAACACGCGTTTTTTTTCAATACAACAGTTTTTGTAACGACAAAAGTATGGAAACATTTCAGTTTTGCCGTATTTAATCGTTTTGCGATATTCTGCGTGCAGTAAATATTAACATCAGTGAGAATGGCGAAAGTAAAAGAATTTACAAGAGATTTAAGAGAGAGTAATTGAATTACAGCAAACGCTCGATAATGTAAACTAATTTAATCCAAGTGTGGTTCACATTATCGAAATGTTTACATTAGCGAACGTGATTTATATAATACTTGATTTATTAAAAGAAACGTTTAATACATACTATTTATAACAAAATAAATAAATATTCTAACAGCGATAGTATTTTTTAATTAGAAGAAAAATAATTAACAATTTTTGTCTGCGTAAATTTGCGCTTAGCATTGTCTTCCAATGCCTGCGCTCGTAATTTACGAAGAACTAAAATATTCGTGTATGAAACTTCTTTTCTTTCAGCCCAATCTAAAGCTTGGTTAAAAACTTGTATAGCTTGCGCGTCAGTCACTACACTTCTGACTTCAATGGGATCGTTCTCATCATCCTCACTGTCCATATCCTCCTCCTTATCAGCATCATTCGTCTGCTTATCTTCGTTCCATAAATTAATATCAGCAGGAGTACAAACAATGTTGGGATTCACTGTTTTCAATAAATCAACAACATCCAATGACACACTAATAACATTATCATTATTGAATCGCAAAAGTTCTCTAATTACGCTTAACGGGACATCGTCTTCTTCATCATCTTCATTATTGGTACAAAAGAGATTGCTCCAACATTTTGAATAGTTATGGTTAAGTTCATTCCAGGCCATATGTAAATCTAAAACAGCTTCTCGTAATGTTACTTTTTTAAAGCCTCAGATAAGTTTTCAGGATTCTTTGATAAGACAGACGAAAGTAGAAACTTCCTATAGTATAGTTTGGTGAGTCTTATTATATTCTGGTCCATCGGTTGAATTAACGGTGTTACGTTGGGCGGGCATGTACATGACGAAAATTGACCTATCCCTGCTCCTAAGTTGTTGCTCGGGAGGATGACTTGGTGCATTATCCAATAGTAACAACGCTTTTATTGGAAGCTTCTGTTGTTTTAGGAAACCTTTTACCTACAAATTTAAAACACATCTTCAAATTATGAATAGAGCATTTGCGATAATTGATTGTGATACCTGAGGAACAAAGCACCTGTGGAACCATTTCAGGAATATACTGCAAGTCATCCAAGCGGTTTTTGAACAGTCATAATCAACAGGGATATTAAAATTTTTAAATAAGCGCGGATTTTTTGCTTTCCCAATTACCAGTGGCTTTATTTTGTGTGAACCATTAGCATTAGTGCAGGCTAGAAACGTTATTCGTTGTTTCTCCGGCGTTCTTCCCGGGGCAGATTTTTCAAATGATGCAGCATAGGTTTTCTCTGGTAACATTTTCCAATAAAGGCCACTTTCATCTGCGTTGTAAATTTGTTCCATTCTTAAATCTAGCTCGGTAATTGTTTTCATCAATTTTTGTTTAAATGGTTGGACTAATTGTGGTTGTGCTGATAATTTTTCACCAGATATAGACAGCAGTCGAATTCCATATCTTGTTTTGAATCGTTGTAGCCAGCCATCACTAGCTACTAAATTTTCAGTTTCTTTCAGTTTTTCATTTAACAGTCTCGCTCTCTCTTTAAGTACTTCGCCACTAACTGGGACATGATTTTCCCATTGTTTTAAAAACCACTTATACAGGGAATTTTCCATTTTAGGTGCCTTCGCATTTTTCAAAGTTTTTCTTGTTCCCGGACCTCCAAATGTATTGCACGTTCTTTGTAAAATTTGAGTTTACATACGCTTAATTTTACAGATTGTTGCTTTCGATACTCCATATTTTTTTGCTAACTGTGTCACTCCCGCACCTAGTGCAACTTCGTCTATGATTTTCACTTTCTCACTCAACTTTAAACACTTTCTTTTATAGGATATGTGGATGCCATAGTCGTAAAATATATTAACGCGTGCAATGTATTCAGTTAAGTTCAAAAATGAAATACATACGTACGTATAAACGTATCCTAAACGATAATACGACTGACCGAGTTTGTCTTATTTTATCGCAGAGGTGAATCGCCTACACTCTACATCATAAATCGGGGACTCCCCGACGCCCGACATAAATCATCGAGGCTTCAGCATTTTACCGTCGCGCTGTTTCCGTTATCGCGCGTTCCGTTTGATCCCATAGAACGAAATTTGTGTTTACATTAGCGCAAGTTTTCATTATCCCGTGTTTACGTTATCGAGCGTCTGGTGTATTTAGAAGTGGTGTCAGAAATGTTTAAATTTCTCAAAGATTAAAAATGAACAAAGGAACGATTGCGAAAATTATTAGTAAATATCAAGGAATACCGAAAAAAACTATGTTTTGGCTGCTACATTAAACGTTTGTCCCATGATGATCCTCGAATGCCAGCCACACAGATTTTCAAATGAATCGTAGAAGAGGGTGCCGAGAATTTTTCTGTCAGAACAGTGCAGTGACGCTTGGTGAATTTTGGGCTTTTTGGTAGGCGTCAAAACAACAATGGAGTGCAGTTTTATGGAGCGATGAAAGCAAATTTAACTTCTTTGGATCTGACGGTACGGCATATGTGACAGGTCCGATACGAAAAAGATTCGACGAAAAGTATCAGTTGCCAACCGTTAAGCACGGTGGTTAATCATGGTTTGGGGCTGTTTTTATAGTTTTGGAACGGGTCCAATTGTTAAAATTGTTAATAAAATGCATCAAAAACTTTACAAAGATATTCTTGGTGAACGCATGCTCCCTTTTGCTGAAGAAGAAATGCCTTTACGATGGACGTTCCATCAAGATAATGACACCAAGCATACCTCAAAATTCGTAAAGGACTGGTTAAGACCAAACAAATTTTAATGTGGTTACATGGTCTTCGCAGTCCCCGGATCTAAACCCTATAGAACATCTCTGGGAGCATGTTAAAAGACAACGTACAATAAAAAAATTCAAAAATAGGAGCGATTTATTTGATTATGTCAAAAATATTTGTCAAAATATCCCAACAGACGTCTGTAAAAAATTGGTGTCTTCTATGAGCAGCAGATGCCAGGCAGTATTGAATGCTAAAGGCTATGCTACCAAATATTAGCTAAACAGTATTTTTTAAATCTTTCTATAGAGTTATTGTATTTAATTTTGGAATAAAAAATATGTCTTTTGTCGTCTCATTTTTGGTCATAAAATAATATGGGTATTTTAATGCTAGTTTGTAGTACCACAGCAAACACAAATTGTCATCTGTATCCTCGAGACTGTAAGCAAACTATATGAGAAAAAAAATATAATAAAGAATAAAAAATTAGCGCACTTTTCAAAAATTACTGAGAATGTTGCCAAACTTTTGTCCGCTACTGTATATTGATATTGTAGCATCAATGCTAAATAAATCAACAAAAACAAAGTCGACAGTACGCTTAGGTAAGCACCGTTCAATGTGCGACGGTGCAACATAAATTCAATCCAAGGTGTGCTTCAAAGATAAGCTTCACCTTGCTAAGTGGTATATTCAAGAAAGCCGGTGCAAACGGACATTAGCTTAATTTAAAAAATTCCACGGAATTTGTGCCATATACTATTGATGCTGAGAATTGCTAGCCGATATGGAGTAAAGTATTTCAACTTGAATCTGATTTTAGGTTTCATGGCTTTTGCTTACAACAAATTTGCAGTTCAATATCGGAAAAGACGGAAAAAATACTCACCTTAGGCGTAGTCGTACTGGTTATAACTTTCATATGTTGATTGTTTGTGCTATAGTGAGCCAACATCAGTAATTCTGCTTGAGCTCTTTGACCAGTGTAGCCATCTTTATAAATTGCATTGATCCTCAAAGCATCTGAAAATATTAATGTTAATGTTAAATTTCAGTCATATATTATCAGAAAAGATTATAGTGACAAATACAGATTGATCGGCAATTTGTGAAACAATCAAAAAATAAACTACCAAATAAACTGGAGGACAGTTGCATTGCAACATGGAACATTTTACCCAAATTAAAATCTCGATATTTTCGGAACGGAAAGATATATCGAGTTGCGATATTCGGAAGAAAAAATTCCAAGATCAAAAATTAAGAACCTGACATGCTAAAAAAACCTGACTTCCTTTGCTCACCCTGTATAAGTGGATAAATACAGAAATACACCAATTGGTCCCTGTACCTGTTCTCAAAGTGTTGGGCAAGAACCTCCCGAATACCGCAACTCGATATCTCTTTCCTTTCCGAAAATATCGACATTTGAATTTGGGTATAATTTTCCATGTTGCAAAGCGACTGACCACCAGTTTAGATGGTACTATTCACACAAAATGATGTATTCAAGTTCCGAACGAAAGTAACTCACTCATAGTGCTTAGCTCTTCATACGCTCTAGGACCAGTAACTCCTAATTCCTTCTTGACATCCAGCTTGTATTCCCATACGCCGGGGTTATCTTCCATTTGATACAGCTGCTTCGTAGGCACGTCCCTTCTCCCGCCTGCGTGCATATCAACCGACGTGCTTACCTCCAACACGCTGCTCCCCAGAATTTCCGGCGACAGTGGCGATCCGTCAAAGTAAGACGCGGCAATCTGAGAATATTAACACGGTTACGTTCACAATTTAACGGCATGTTCAAACATAACTTGAGGCGGAATCACATTACTTTCATTTCACGTGAGTTCAGAGGTTGTCACGTAAACTTACGTTGCGTTGGAAAACGTGGAACCCTACAGACGGGTAGAAGTAATAGTAGACGAAAATACCCCTGGTTGGCGAAATAATTGTACTGGTTTTGTTCAAGGGACGCATAAAATGGGTACACCAATTTTCGTAGGTAAAACAAAAAATTAAAAAGGAAGGTTTGTGGATTCGAACCTCCATCCTGCGGTTCTGCAATCGGTAATCCTTCCCATTACGTTAGGACGCCTCTTGGTTTACTGGATCCTTACACCGCTATACTTGACACTGACAAATGTCGAGCGAACGTTGGAGGCATATCAAATCTGTTATAAACAATCAGAATACTCTTCAAAACTATACACGATACAATACAGAAACTTTAAATAATGTATTAGGGACTAATACCGAGCATTTTGCCTACTCTCTGGTCAGTTCGCTACAATTGGTTGATATCACTGATCAACAGCCAAAAAATATCCTAAATAAAATCAACAAAATATTACTATTTTTAATGTGCTAAAACCGGAATGAAACTTATTTTTTCAATATTAGTTCAAGTTTTACAGATACGGTAATTATATGTGTACCTGCTGTGACAGTGTTAATATACTGTAATTCACAAGAATGCACGTGCTACATTTTTATATTCGGCAAGGAAAGATGATGTAATCGGCATGATTGTGTTACGTTATACATACGTGTACATCATATTGTTTTATATTAGCCATTTTTTCCTCAGTTGGCTGACAGCGTTCATGCAAGATGTCTCGAAAGTGTGTAAATAATCCAGATCAGTTTTGTTACGTGTGTGGTGATGTGACTTTTGCGTCTCAGAGACGGTCTATTACTCCACTAATAACAAAGGTATATCAGCTTTATTTCGGTTGTAAACTAGGTGATCAAGACATACAGTGGGCACCCCACATCTGCTGTAATACATGTGCTTCAAGTCTGAGGAGCTGATTAAATGGCAAAAAACGGTCTATGCGCTTTGCTGTCCCAATGGTTTGGAGAGAGCCTACAAATCATATTAATGATTGTTACTTTTGCATGGTACCTTGTGTTGGACAAGCCACAGGTATGTCCAAGAAAAAAAAATCTGTTATTAACTACCCAAACATACCATCTGCGATGAGACCTGTGCCTCACAGTGACGAAAATCCTATTCCAAAACCCCCAGAATCCTACACTTGCGAATCAGAAAACGAATCAGATCATGGCGATCGAGTGAATCGTCAGGAAGAAGATATGCCATTAACGTCAAGAGATCCTGATTTTATACCGAGCACGTCATGCCACCAACCGCACAAAATAACACAGTCAGAATTAAATGATCTTGTAAGAGATTTAGAACTTCCAAAATGTAAGGCAGAGTTACTTGGATCAAGACTGCAGCAGTGGAACTTGTTAGAAGACGATGTTTCGGTATGTGTTTTTCGTAAACGCCACAAAGACTTAGAACCATTTTTCAATATGGAGAATAACTTGGTTTTCTGCAGTAACATTAACGGCTTACTGGCGGCTTTAAATATAAACTATAACCCAGAAGACTGGAGACTGTTTATAGACAGTTCAACATTGAATTTAAAGGCAGTGTTATTGCATATTGGAAATATTTTACCATCTCTTCCTGTAGGGTATGCAGTTCACATGAAAGAATCATATGACAATATGAAGTACCTATTGACATGCATAAAATACGATGAGCACCAATGGCATATTTGTGGCGATTTGAATATTGTTGCACTTTTACTTGGGCTGCAGCTAGGCTACACAAAGTTTTGCTGTTTTTTGTGTGAATGGGACAGTCGGGCAAAGGCACTTCATTACACCAGACAAAACTGGCCTGTTCGTCAATTCCTAGAGCCAGGTCAAAAAAATGTACAGCATATGCCATTAGTAGATTCGAAAAAAAATTTATTACCACCACTGCATATCAAGTTGGGCCTAATGAAAAACTTTGTCAAGGCATTAGATAGAGATGGGTCAGTTTTTCAATACCTGCGTCAGAAAGTTCCAAGACTAAGTGAGGCAAAGGTTAAAGAAGGTATTTATTGTTGGGCCACAGATTCGTAATATTTTGAAAGATACACAGTTTGAAAACACTTTTAACTAATTTCTTGGGAAATAGAAAAGCTGACAACTATAAAACCCTTGTCAAAAATATGCTGTCATCTTATCAAAAGATGGGCTGTAATATGTCTCTTAAGATACATTTCCTACACTCACACCTGGACTTTTTTCCTGACAATTGCGGAGCCGTAATTGATGAGCACGGCGAACGTTTTCATCAGGATATTTCAACAATGGAAAAAAGGTACCAGGGAAAGTGGAATCCTTCCATGCTTGCAGACTACTGTTGGACTCTTGGTAGAGATGCTCCAGAAACGATCCATAAAAGAACAGCAAAAAGACAGCGCATATAGTGATTCTTATAAGTATATGAATCTTGTTACTTTTTTTAATATATCCTTAAAAATAAAAAGTTTTTTTCTAAACCGCAACTAATTTTTTTATTTCATTGTCATTTTTGGATTCAGCGCCCCAAAATTAACAAAGAAGTGCACTTTTCCCACAAGATACAATTAAAAAACCAAAATTTGTTGTCCAGTGTATTTGTCTATTGTTTTTTCGTTTTCTCAAGTTTATTTTCCAACATTTTGAAGTCGCAGTCGTTTTAATAGTACGAGATTTCGAAAACTATATTAATCCTTTTAGAAATAAGGTCCAGGGAACTATATTTCTTCGGAAAGAAACTGGATGATGTGACTTACTTATTTGATGTCATGCAGTCATCAATAATGCAGCCATTTAGCACATACTGCATACTAACTAGTCTAAGACAGTTTGAGACACAATTGCGTCTACAGTTTGCATGCTCACTTTATAAACAGTTCAACGCATTTCAGTATGAAATGTTTTTTTATAAGCTTTAAGGCTCATCTCTGACCGTGTAAAAATGTCAGCTCTAAATACGAGCCCCTTCCCACTTCAGCTGGCCCAACTATTGGAATCTTAGTTTTTTTCTTATCAAACACAAATAATAAAAATATAGCTTGGGTGTTATAGGTTTAAAATATTAACAATGAATATTTTGATAATACATAGTAGAAAACACCAACTTTATCACTCCCTGATCAAATTTGCAGCATAAAAATAACACATGTTGCAAGCATATCATCCTATTCTTCATTTCAATGCAAAATAAGTCTATAAGGTATGGGTGGCTGTGAAAACTAAAAGCCATGATAATTGTTTTTATTAATCATAGCTGTCAGAATACGTTTAAAATAGTTTTGGGCAGTTAAGGTTTTCAAGATGGGTAGAGGAAAAGTTATTAGTGACAAAATTCGGTTACTGATAATTACATTTTTTAATTCTGAGAAATCAAACTCAGAAATTGCAACTTTGTTAGACTTATCGCGGTACAGTGTGAGAAATATTGCAGCTGTAATGTTTTTTGTCTCTCTCTCTCGAATGAAGTTGTATTTTTTTAAAAAACTCTGCATATTTTCAGGGAAAGGGAATTGATCGATGTAGTTCTTCGTGGGACACCTTGTATTGTTACTATTACAAACTTACCTGACATTTTTGGAATATCATACGATTTAGTTTAGTAAAAAATATTACAAATACCTGCTTGAAATTCAAAGCTTACACGAACAAGCTTTGCGAGAAACGCAGCTTATAATCTAATTAACATTTTAAGAGTGAGACTTTTTCAACATCTAAGATAGAATCACAAACTTACTTGTTCGGTTATGTACTTACGTAAGCGGTAACCGGCATTCCAGGTTTGAAAACCTGAGGCGAATCTCCCAGAAACTTTAACCTTATGGATGAATTGAATATCCTTGCCGTAGAAAATCCTTCAATGACTTCGTCCAGAAGCCTGTCACCGACAGTCGCAGTCACAACAATTTCCATACCGTCCAAACTTGATATATAGTGTAACAGGTCTTGGATTGGATACTTGAACTCATAAACGCCTTCGAACTGAAATACAAGAACCGCTAATATAACCTACGTCATTTTATCATGTTTGTTTGTTGAAGATTTATTTAGCATGTAATTAGAGAAGAAAAAACGGAATTCTACGATCAACAAATCGATAATAACAAGTGCGATGTGGAAGACTTTAAAAAGACTGATCAATTCGAAGCCGCATGATTGTGTAAATCAAGTTCAATTCGAAAACGGTACCGAAACAAATTCTATGGTGATTGCAAACAAACTAAATGAATATTTTGTGGAAAGTATTGTTAATATTGTGGGTACTGCCAATGCTGCACCTGACTATATGAAAATCAGTTTCCAGGGGGAAATGTTGCATACACTTTCAAAATTTCACAGCGTATCATTGAGTTATCTAAGAAAAAAAGTAAACAGTTTAAAATCAAATAACAACTGTGCCGAAATGACTACTAAAAACGTGCTGAAAAACTGTTTCGAAATTTTGAGATATCCTGTATTAAATTGGATCAATTGTTCACTGAGAAGCAGTTCTTTTCCTGAAAATTTGAAATGCTCTACAATAACACCAGTTCTCAAAGTATAAAAATTCTAAAAGATGCAGCGATACGAGACCAGTAAATGCGTTACCAGACATTGAAAAATTATTAGAGTCCATAGTGCATGACCAATTAATGCAGTTTATAGAAGAAAATAAAATTTTAGTGGAGGCACAAGCAGGCTTTCGAAAAAAATATTCCACAGAAACGGCTTTCCAGTTGGTAACTGAGAATTGGAGAAGAGAAGAAGTTGTCATAGCAGTATTTTTGGATTTAAAGGGGGCATTTGAAACGATTGATAGAGATATTTTGTTACGTAAATTGAAGGCATATGGTATATCAGGAAAGTTAATGACACTATTTCATCAAAAATTGAAAATACGTTGGGTGTTCCACAGGGCAGTATCCTGGGACCACTTCTTTTTATTTTATACATAAATGATTTACCTACCATAGTCAAAAAATGCAAAATTCAAATTTTCGCCGATGACACTATGATTTATATAAGTACTAAAAATATTCAGTCTGGTATCTCTTATATAAATGAAGACTTGAAGCTGGTCTCAAAATGGTTAGCATCTAACAGACTAAAATTAAATGCAAGTAAAACGAAAAAAAAAACAATGTACACATGTTCAACTGAATATTGATGGTGAAGATATTGAATTAATAGAAAATTTTAAATACCTGGGAGTGTTTGTTGACTCTCGATTAATTTTTGATATTCATTATGAAAAAGTAATAAATAAGATTAGTAGTAAAGTGGGATATTTATCGAGAGTTTCTGGATGTCTGAGTTCATATAGCAGAAAAATTATCTATAATACCATCATTCTTTCAAATTTCTTGTACTGTTCGACTATTCTATATTTAGCAAATAATTCCATTTTTGAAAGACTGCAAATTTTACAAAATAAGTGCATTTGAATAATACTGAATAAAGATAAATATACTCCGATTAGGCACATGCTTAGCAAATTAAAATGGCTCAATGTAAAAATGTTTATCAAATATCTTGTAATGATATTCATTTATAAAGTAAAAAATAATATATTAACATCAAGTCTAATTAATTTAAGATTATCAAATGTTGACCGTCATTTACATAATACCAGAAATAAAGATTCTATTTAACGACCAAAACGTGTAACATATGCTACAAATCTGTATTCCATCAAGTTTAGATTGAATATAATAAATTATACTCAGAGATAAAAGACCAGAAAATTTTGACCAAATTTAAAGTAAAATTGAGAAATCACTTGTAAAATATGGCTTGAATTTACTAGTTTTAAGTTGTTTACAATTATTCTGTTTATGTAGCCAAATGTGCTAAATAAATCTTTCTACTACTATTACAATGTCAATTTTATATAATTATTCGTTTACACATTTTTTGAATCAATTTTCTGTAACTTTACATTCTTGTCATTAACACACAACAAGAAGGTGGTAGATAAGGACCAGTCGAGCGACGCATTACCACCCGCTAGCTTTTCCCAGGGCGACTTACAAATGTTCGCAGTTTTTCACGCAGTCGGTTATCTAGAATTGAGGACGTGGACTCACTCCACTCTCGGAATGTCCACGTGGAGGGTGGACTCGAGGGAAAAACATCGATGATAAAATTTGTTTCACGAACATTGCCGGATTAACAACAATAATGAAGCTCTTCATCACTACCTGCAAATCAATCGTCCCGCCATGTTTTTCTTCGCGGAGACAAAAATCTCAAATGACGAGGTGCACTCGAATCTGAGAAAGAACGGGGGAGTTGTGGCTTTTAACCGCAGCAGTCTTTCCTGCTTCGGAGATTTTTCTTTGGAATCAGACCGGAAACACATTCTGTGGCTAACTGGGATTTCCTACTTGAATACCTCACTGTCAAGATCGACTGCCTGAACATCAATCACAGGCAGTTCATCTCGGTGATTTAAATGGCCACAATGAGCTTTGGTTGGGCTCAAACAAGACCGATGCAGCAGGTCGTGCAGTCGAAGCGTTCGCTCTTACTCAAGAACAGACCCAGCTGTCCTTCTAGCCTGATTCCAAAGAGACGTCTCTGGAGCTGGAAAGACAAAATCCACAACTCCCCCGTTTATCAAACTGGAGTGCAGCTCGTGGTTCCGAAAAGTAAAATGGCTGGTCATAGCAGAGTTAGAGATTCTGGTCTCCACGAAGAAAAGCATGGCGTGAAGGAGATTTTATCATACATGTTGTTTCCTTGAGTTCATCCTCCACCCGAACATTCCAAGAGAGGAATTTGTTGTACTCGAATCATTTGTTTTTGAGAACGGGAAGCATGCGGACTGTTTTGAGACACCATCTTCTTTTTCTTTGTAAATAATATTAAATAGACCTAAAGCGGCGTGTCGACGGACTTGTACAGCATCGCGATTTCAAGTAACCGCTAGCACTACTAATACATTTAAACAATCCAGCTATACTTACAAATTTCATGCAGGGGATCGGCTCATAGTAGTTATAAGGCAGTTTGTACCAACTCGGTATCTCCTCGTCGAACGTAAAATATTTCTCAACGATAGGCGGATTATAGTCCCTTCTTTCATAATCGTACTGGTTATTATTAACATCGTTAGGGTTTTGGTTGAAGTCATACGGTCTGTCGGCATCATACAAATTGTTTCTTTGCTCCCCTGGCCTCGGTCTGTTCTTCTTAGTGTATTTGTTGGGGTCGATCGGTTTGATAGGTCTGACGGTCGCCTTCAAAGTCAAATTGCCCCTTACTGGGGCTCCGCTGGTATAGTTGGCCATGATAATGCCATGAACGTACTCGTCGGTGTTTAGGAAGAAAGCTGGCATGGTTACATTCACCTGAAATATAAAAAAGATAATATGATTAGGGTGTCCCGAAAAAATCAAAGTTCCTTTTTTCAAACGCATACATGCTCGTTTGTTCTGTTAGTTTTTGTTCAGTCCACGTGTCAAAGGAATTACGCAGTTCTGAAAACGCTGTGCGTCGAGTAAGTGATTCGGTCATTGTAGGGAAGCATTCCACTGTTTTGAGAGTCACTAGATCAACACTGCATGGCTTAATGAAGAAAAAAATGAGTTTTCATTCTTATAAAATCCAATCAGTCCATGTTTTAAAGGAAAGTGATTACGTATTACGGAAATCTTTTGCTGAACGGATGGTGAATCTTTTCCGTTTCGATTTAACAGAAACACATGGTTTCAAAAGGACGAGGCCGCTGCCCATACTCCCAGAGAATGGATGGACATGGTGAAAGCAGTTTTTCCTCAAAAAGTTATATCGAAGTTTGGAGCCATTCCCTGGCCTCCTAGGTCACCCGACCTCAGGCCATGCGATTATTGTTTGTGGAGTTATCTAAAATCAAGTGTCTTCCAATAATCCACGAACACTGGAGGAGGTTAAAGATAACATTCAACGAGAAATAAACAACATTCTTAAATCAAAAAGTGAACTTTCCCACTAGACTCCTTAGATACCTTATATCAAGATTAGAGAGATTTGAAAAACAAAAGCAAGCAAAACACAAGAAGTGTTTGAGCAACGTAGACAAGAGTTTGTTACGAACTTGGACGATCTGTTTGATATTGCGCCTGCCGACGCCCTTCAATTGATGAAAATAAATGCAGATAGGACCTTCTTGCAGCGGCAGAGAGCTACAGCCGGTTTCCAGTTCCTAATTTGTGTTATTCGGAGTAACTCGGTACTGCTCACCACCTGTAAATACCGTTCCAATGCTCTAGAGTGTCATGCACCTGAGCTACTAATTTTTGAAATCTCCTGCCCCCTCATACAGTAGCTTTTTATTGTGTTATACGCTTATATTTTACGACTATGGCATCCACATCCTATAAAAGAAAGTGTTTAAAGTTGAGTGAGAAAGTGAAAATCATAGACGAAGTTGCACTAGGTGCGGGAGTGACACAGTTAGCAAAAAAATATGGAGTGTCGAAAGCAACAATCTGTGAAATTAAGCGTATGAAAACTCAAATTTTACAAAGAACGTGCAATACATTTGGAGGTCCGGGAAAAAGATAAACTTTAAAAAATGCGAAGGCACCTAAAATGGAAAATTCCCTGTATAAGTGGTTTTTAAAACAACGGGAAAATCATGTCCCAGTTAGTGGCGAAGTACTTAAACAGAGAGCGAGACTCTTAAATGAAAAACTGAAAGAAACTGAAAATTTCGTAGCTAGTGATGGCTGGCTACAACGATTCAAAACAAGATATGGAATTCGACTGCTGTCTATATCTGGTGAAAAATGATCAGCACAACCACAATTAGTGCAACCATTCAAAGAAAAATTGATGAAAACAATTACCGAGCTAGATTTAAGAATGGAACAAATTTACAACGCAGATGAAAGTGGCCTTTATTGGAAAATGTTACCAGAGAAAACCTATGCTGCATCATTTGAAAAATCTGCACCGGGAAGAAAGCCGGAGAAACAACGAATAACGTTTCTAGCCTGCACTAATGCTAATGGTTCACACAAAATAAAGCCACTGGTAATTGGGAAAGCAAAAAATCCGCGCTCATTTAAAAATGTTAATATCCCAGTTGATCATGACTGTTCAAAAACCGCTTGGATGACTAGCAGTATATTCCTGAAATGGTTCCACAGCTGCTTTGTCCCTCAGGTATGACAATCAATTATCGCAAATGCTCTATTCATAATTTGAAGATGTGTTTTCAATTTGTAGGTAAAAGGTTTCCTAAAACAACAGAAGCTTCCAATAAAAGCATTGTTACTATTGGATAATGCACCAAGTCATCCTCCCGAGCAACAACTGAGGAGCAGGTCAATTTTCGTCATCTACATGCCGCCCAACGTAACACCGTTAATTCAACCGATGGACCAGAATATAATAAGACTCACCAAACTATACTATAGGAAGTTTCTACTTTCGTCTGTCTTATCAAAGAATCCTGAAAACTTATCTGAGGCTTTAAAATAAGTAACATTATGAGAACCTGTTTTAGATTTACATATGGCCTGGAATGAACTTAACCATAAACTATTCAAAAATGTTGGACTCTTTTGTACCAATAATGAAGATGATGAAGAAGACGATGTCCCCTTAAGCGTAATTAGAGAACGTTTGCGATCCAATAATGATAATGTTATTAGTGTGTCATTGGATGTTGTTGATTTATTGAAAACAGTGAATCCCAACATTGTTTGTACTCCTGCTGATATTATTTCATGGAACGAAGATAAGCAGACGAATGATGCTGATAAGGAGGAGGATATGGACAGTGAGAATGATGAGAACGATCACATTGAAGTGACTGACGCGCAGGCTATACAAGTTTTTAACCAAGCTTTAGATTGGGCTGAAAGAAAAGAAGTTTCATACACAGATATTTTAGTTGTTCGTAAATTACGGGCGCAGGCATTGGAAGACATTGCTAAGCGCAAATTTACGCAGACAAAAATTGTTAATTATTTTTCTTCTAATTAAAAAAATACTTATCGCTGTTAGAATATTTGTTTATTTTGTTATAAATAGTATGTATTAAACGTTTCTTTTAATAAATCTAATATTATATAAATCACGTTCGCTAATGTAAACATTTCGATAATGTGAACCACACTTGGATTAAATTAGTTTACATTATCGAGCGTCTGCTGTATATAATTTTTTTTTCAAGAAATAAGGTATGTTATTCTACATACATATTCTTATTGTATAAGAATTATTGTTAAATATTTGGATAGAAAAACTTTGAAAGTTGTGTATGACTCTAGAATAAGGTATGGAATTATGTTATTCGGAAACTGTATATTTTGTTGTAATTCGTGTAACATAAAAGAGAATATTGAGAAATATTTTAGGATTGCAGTTGAATGAATCATGTACAAGCAAATTAAGCAACTCGGTATTTTGACAGTTTTCGAGTGTTTATTCAAAAGTGTCTCATATATCTATTTAATGCGAATGTTCACAATTATTGAGCCTACAAGTAACCATTCTAGAGTTTTCAACTATACTCACCCTAAGCATAGATTAAAATTATTTGAGAAATGTTCTTTTTATAATTATCTAAAAGTGTTTAAGCATTCACCAGCAGTTGTGAAAAAGATTGTAAAACTAAGTACATTTGAAAAAATATATAAAGTATTACTAAATGTACTACCATATATAATCCATGACTTTTTCAAGACAGATTTGAATAATATGATTTTATCGTTAATTTTGTTTGATTGTATCACAAGTGATTTACAGCTGTTTTAAAGTATTTGTTTTTGCTGTTATTGTCATGTATAACAGGGATCTCCAGACGTATCAGAACCCGCCGCGCTTCAAATCTAGATACATAAATACGTTTATAAATAAATTACCTCGAATCTGGTTTGGTAATATTCTTCCACCAAAAAAGAGCTTTCTTCAACTTGGCCTTGAGCGATTACCCTGATTTTCCATTCGCCGAACGTCGGTTGATCAGACAACTGGTATTCCAAGCTGACCGTACCCAAATTGGACTGCCTCGACAACCACCGTTTCAATATGTTCCCGCTAGGATCTAACATGTACACGTCCACAGCATCATTGAACGCTTTCAATTCGGTGTTGATCGGTATCGTACGGAATCGGACTGAAATAGTGGTTGAACAATTTATTATTAATAATAAGTATAATCTTTATGGACACTCACATACTTCAAAAAAAAAAACTTACAGTGCACGCTCAGCATTAATACTAAATAAAACAAACTAGACACAATCTAACTAGTAGTAGTAGAAAGATTTATTTAGCACATTTGGCTACATAAACAGAATAATTGTAAACAACTTAGAACTAGTAAATTCAAGCCATATGGTGTATGATGTAAATGCTGGGCAACCTATAATTGTAGATTTAACAAGTGATTTCTCAATTTTACTTTAAATTTTGTCAACGTTTTCTGGTCTTTTATCTCCGAGTATAATTTATTATATTCAATCAACCCTTGATGGAATACAGATTTGTAGCATATGTTATACTTTTTGGTCATTAAATGGAAGTCATCGTTATTTCTGGTATTATGTAAATGATGGTCGACATTTGATGATGTTAAATTAGTTAGACTTGATGGAAATATATTATTTTTTACTTTATAAATGAATATCATTACAAGATATTTGATAAAATTTTTTACATTGAGCCATTTTAATTTGCTAAGCATTTGCCTAATTGGAGTATATTTATCTTTATTTAGTATTATTCTCATGCACTTATTTTGTAAAATTATTTTTATCTTTCAAAAATGGAATTATTTGCTAAATATAGAATAGTCGAACAGTACAAGAAATTTGGAAGAATGATGGTATTATAGATAATTTTTCTGCTATATGAACTCAGACGTCACACTCACATATCCCACTTTACTACTAATCTTATTTATAACTTTTTCATAATGAATATCAAAAATTAATCGAGAGTCAACAAAAACCCTCAGGTATTTAAAATTTTCTACGAATTCAATATCTTCACCATCAATATTCAGTTGAACATTTGCACATTGTTTTTTTACGATTAACAAGGCTTTCGTTTTACTTGCATTTAATTTTAGTCTGTTAGATGCTAACCATTTTGAGACAAGCTTCAAGTCTTCATTTATATAAGAGATACCAGACTGAATATTTTTAGTACTTAATAAATCATAGTGTCATCGGCGAAAATCTGAATTTTGCATTTTTTGACTATGGCAGGTAAATCATTTATGTATAAAATAAAAAGAAGTGGTCCCAGGATACTGCCCTGTGGAACACCCAACGTATTTTCAATTTTTGATGAAATAGTGTCGTTAACTTTTGTAACTTGCATCCTTTTAGACAAATAATTTCTAAACCAATCTAAAACACTTCCCGATATACCATATGCCTTCAATTTACCTAACAAAATATCTCTATCAATCGTTTCAAATGCCCTCTTCAAATCCAAAAACACTGCTATGACAACTTCTTCTGAGTCTATGGCTCTTCTCCAATTCTCAGTTACCAACTGGAAAGCTGTTTCTGTGGAATATTTTTTCGAAAGCCTGCTTGCGCCTCCACTAAAATTTTGTTTTCTTCTATAAACTGCATTAATTGGTCATGCACTATGGACTCTAATCATTTTTCAATGTCTGGTAACACATTTACTGGTCTCATATCGATGCATCTTTTAGAATTTTTTTTTGGGAACTGGTGTTATTGTAGAGCATTTCAAATTTTCAGGAAAAGAACTGCTTCTCAGTGAACAATTGATCCAATTTAACACAGGATATCCCAAAATTTTGAAACGGTTTTTCAGCACGTTTTTAGTAGTGATTTCGGCACAGTTGTTATGTGATTTTAAACTGTTTACTTTTTTTCTTAGATAATTGAATGATACGCTGTGAAATTTTGAAAGTGTATGCAACATTTCCCCCTGGAAACTGATTTTCATATAGTCAGGTGCAGCATTGGCAGTACCCGCAATATCAACAATACTTTCCACAAAATATTCATTTAGTTTGTTTGCAATCACCAAAGAATTTGTTTCGGTACCGTTTTCGAATTGAACTTGATTCACACAATCATGCGGCTTCGAATTGATCAGTCTTTTTAAAGTCTTCCACATCTTTACACTGTCGCACTTGTTATTATCGATTTGTTTATCGTAGAATTTCCTTTTTTCTTCTCTAATTACATATACACATTTATTCCTAAGAGTTTTATATACCTCCCAATCATCATTTGATTTTGTGAATATACATTTATTGTATTGTTTGTCTCTCAAATTTTGAGCTGCCTTAATATTCTTGTTATACCACGGTGTATTTTTTGTCGAGCAAATCACTTTTTTATCAGGTGCAAGATCTAAACAAGTTTTTATATTTCCTATTATGTTGTCATATATTTTTTCCATATTCTCACCAAAATTCCAATAACAGCCAGCAAGTTCTCGTTCAAGTTTTTCGTACTTAATAGTATTTTCGATTTTCTTAATTTTTGTATCAGAAAAATGCCCTACCAAGGGCAGCATTGTCCAACTTTTGGTGTATGTACAGCTTTAATCCCTGCACATTCGAAATTTACAATAACAAGATCTAACAAAGTTTCTGATGATTATGTTATTCTGGTACTCTCTTAAAATTTTTTGCTTGAACCCATAGTTGTTTATGGTTTATGGTAAAATTCCACATTTCTTCGCATTTTTCTTCAAAAAACGTTAAAAATGTATACGCATCACTGTTTGGTGAACGGTAAAAAGTACAAAGATCATAACGTTTCCCAAATAATTTGAACTGTATATGTGCATACCAGTATGCATAGTCTAAAGTGGTACAATCGAATAATGTGATCTGTTTTTGTGGTAAACATAAATCACTACACCTCCAGTATGTCTGGAGTTGGAGTTGCATCTGTAGGTTTTATAATTAGTAATTTGTAATTCACCATCAGTGATGTCTTCTGTAGCATGTGTTTCGGTAAGACATAATACAAGTGGTTTTCTCCATCTTAAAAACTGTTGAACTTCATCTACGTAGTCATGCCATAAGTTCTGTCCCTCGTTTTCAAACAAGTGTAGACCTGTTAATACTTGTCCGATTGTTTACATTGTGGTGTCAGTTGATTAAGCGCTTTTCGGGTAATTACATATACCTCAGTTTGTATTGATCTCTCGAAGCATAACGATGGAGTGGGGCAAGGCAGAGAACCGTATTGCAGTGATAGCTTTACATAAGTGTAATCACAGTGCTAGTCAGATTTTTGAACTCTTACGCGGCCTTCAAATATCGCGTAAATTTGTGTCTAGGACCATTCAGCGGTACAATGAGACGTCCTCTGTTGATGACAGGCCAAGAAGCGGAAGACCTCGTCAAGTAAGGACTCCAGCAGCCATCAAAGCCGTAAAAGCCAGGATTCAAAGGAATCCACTCCGGAAGCAGAAGATCCTATCCAGGGAAATGAAGATTCCTGTCCGGACGATGTCGCGCATCATTAAACAAGACCTAGGGCTAGGGGCTTACCGGAGACGTACGGGCCAGCGACTTACGGCCACCTTGCGACACATCAGGGCGACAAGATCCAAGAAGCTCTTGGAGAGGTACGCAGCTGGGGGATTCCGAAAGATTTTGTTCACGGATGAGAAAATCTTCACCATAGAAGAAAAATTCAACCGACAAAATGACAAAGTGTATGCAAGGAGTTCACAGGAAGCTTCGGAGATCATTCCGAGAGTTGAGAGAGGCCACCACCCTGCGTCAGTCATGGTTTGGTGGGGGGTGTCCTACTAAGGGGTCACTCAGCTCCATTTCTGTAAACAGGGCGTGAAAACAAAAGCGGCAAACTATCAGAGCGACATACTGGATCCTATCGTCAAGCCTTTAAGTGGTACATTGTTTGCCAACCAACACTGGGTCTACCAGCAGGATTCCGCCCCCGCTCACAAGGCTAAGGGTACGCAGCGCTGGCTGGAAAGCAATGTGCCAGAGTTCATTGCTGCGGAAGATTGGCCCTCAGGGAGTCCGGACCTCAATCCTTTAGACTACAAGTTGTGGGACCTGCTAGAGCAGTTGGCCTGCTCCAAAGCCCACCGTAATATCGAGTCCCTGAAAGCGGATTTGATCCGATCAGCGGCAGCTATTCCTTTGGAAGCTGTGCGTGCAGTGATAGATGAGTGGCCCGCGAGATTGAAGCAGTGTGTGAAGGCCAAGGGGGGACATTTTGAATAAAACTGTTTGATTATGAATTCTAAAAATGTTGTCGAATAAATAATATCTTTCATATAAATATATCTTATCTTGTTTCATTTTTATCATGAGATTATCATGGGACAGAACTTATGGCACGACTATGTATATTATTCAGGATTCCTTGTATGTTTAAATGGTATATTCATCACTTACAGATTTAGCCACGTCTTGCAAGTCTGAGCTTAGTAGTTGCTATTCATTTGCATAACTAATTTTTTCCCTCTCACATTCAATTTTCCTTTTATATATGCGGCCAATAAATGTCCAGCAAAAAAAAAATATTTACGAACAGATCTAAATTGTAATGCAATATCTTATTTTTGGATCACCGTGCATTGTACGGCTATAGATAAAAAAACGTACACTTACAAAACTGACGTGTCCGAGCGTTTTTCCCAAAATATACCACACCCCCACAAATGGGGCTGTTATCTTTTCATTGGACGACACTGTATAATCCCGTAAAAGAACGTATCGTAGACACATTTTTTGAAGCTTATTTACCGGACTACAAAACTGTGTTAACAACGGTTTCCACATATATTATTTACAGGACCGTAACAAAAAAAAACATCAAAGTTTTTCAAAAAATTTTTAGTTCCTGTTCACGTTAGGAACCGGAACTTTTCGCCACGCTAAAGAACAATATTTATCTATCACAACAGACATGCTAGAATTGAAAAAAAAATGCGTCTTACCTGTTTCTCCTTGCATGTAGACAGGTTTATCCAACTGTATGAATATAGTCATTGATCTTTGTGAGAATATCAAATTGGTTTCATTGATGAACTGGGCACCACCTAGTTCATCTACATACAGACCTTCTACCCTTAGCTTGTATTCGCCCGGAGCGCTGGTACTGGGAACCTGAATATTAACGAAAAGGAGAACTATAAAGGCGGTCTGTCACGATACGAAATTTTATGCCAAATTTAGTACAAAATTAAAGATAGTGTCTGTTTGAATATAGTGAAGTGTGAACACACCCTAACGTGTGTAATAGGCTTAATATATCATAATATGTCATGTAATGTACGTTAGGGATGTTCTGATCCACGAAAAGTATCGATACCATGTATCGATTCGTATCGTTTTAGGAAGTATCGATACTCTGAAATAACGGAATAAAACTTTTCGATACGGAACATAAACTGCCAAAAATCGAAGTTGGTTTTTCTACAACCCTCAAAATACTGTTTACTTTTTTCAACTGATTAGATTGTCAAATACGTTCACTAATAAAAATAGGTAAAAAACCTCACACTTGCATAACTTACATCTCCCACCTAAACTCGATTTTACAAAATAGCTCCACAAGTCGCTTCTTACAGGAGGCGACACTATGACAATAATGTTTTGTTTTAAACTATGATGTTTAATCAATCAATACTAAGATCACTGTGAGTCATTCCCTGAAACCGAATCCAACAGGGTTGCCAGTGTAGCTCAGTTTCCCCAGTCGAAATATAAAAATCCCCTAAATTCGGGTCTTTTAAAAAAATCGCCAAAAAATACCTTTAATCTTTTGTTACCGTAGGTTTACGATCTGTTAGGTATTCTTGCATCTTAAAATATTTTTTGAGTAACATATTTTTGCATGTCGCTAAATACCCCAAAAGGTGAAAGTATTTGTTGCGAATTGAAAGACAAAAATATACATTACAAGTACGTTATGTAATGTCAATAAAATTTTACATAATAATACTTCCCCAAAAGAAATATCCCCAAAATCTTCATCATTGAAATAAAAATTCACTGATATTTCGAGACAAATCCAAAATAAATTATGTGAGGTCGTGAAGTGAACAGCACCAGCGGAAGGAACCAAAGAAGAAAAGTAATCTGAAAAGTCTTTCTGACCCCAAGTATCGTTTATAAAAATATCGATCCAAAATATCGGGTATCGGAAGCAAAAGTATCGATACTTCTAAATATCGGATCGTATCGAACATCTCGACTGTCAAGATGTATAAGCCGGGGTACCGACGGAGCCATTTGGACCGTCATGGAAATGGTTTCAAAATTTTTATTTGGTATTTTTTGAAGTGTTGTGCAACGATTTTGGGGAAAAATCCACGTATAGTCTTATAAAGCATACTACGTAGTCATGCCATAAGTTCTGTCCCTCGTTTTCAAACAAGTGTAGACCTGTTAATACTTGTCCGATTGTTTACATTGTGGTGTCAGTTGATTAAGCGCTTTTCGGGTAATTACATATACCTCAGTTTGTATTGATCTCTCGAAGCATAACGATGGAGTGGGGCAAGGCAGAGAACCGTATTGCAGTGATAGCTTTACATAAGTGTAATCACAGTGCTAGTCAGATTTTTGAACTCTTACGCGGCCTTCAAATATCGCGTAAATTTGTGTCTAGGACCATTCAGCGGTACAATGAGACGTCCTCTGTTGATGACAGGCCAAGAAGCGGAAGACCTCGTCAAGTAAGGACTCCAGCAGCCATCAAAGCCGTAAAAGCCAGGATTCAAAGGAATCCATTCCGGAAGCAGAAGATCCTATCCAGGGAAATGAAGATTCCTGTCCGGACGATGTCGCGCATCATTAAACAAGACCTAGGGCTAGGGGCTTACCGGAGACGTACGGGCCAGCGACTTACGGCCACCTTGCGACACATCAGGGCGACAAGATCCAAGAAGCTCTTGGAGAGGTACGCAGCTGGGGGATTCCGAAAGATTTTGTTCACGGATGAGAAAATCTTCACCATAGAAGAAAAATTCAACCGACAAAATGACAAAGTGTATGCAAGGAGTTCACAGGAAGCTTCGGAGATCATTCCGAGAGTTGAGAGAGGCCACCACCCTGCGTCAGTCATGGTTTGGTGGGGGGTTTCCTACGAAGGGGTCACTCAGCTCCATTTCTGTAAACAGGGCGTGAAAACAAAAGCGGCAAACTATCAGAGCGACATATTGGATCCTATCGTCAAGCCTTTAAGTGGTACATTGTTTGCCAAACAACACTGGGTCTACCAGCAGGATTCCGCCCCCGCTCACAAGGCTAAGAGTACGCAGTGCTGGCTGGAAAGCAATGTGCCAGAGTTCATTGCTGCGGAAGATTGGCCCTCAGGGAGTCCGGACCTCAATCCTTTAGACTACAAGTTGTGGGACCTGCTAGAGCAGTTGGCCTGCTCCAAAGCCCACCGTAATATCGAGTCCCTGAAAGCGGATTTGATCCGATCAGCGGCAGCTATTCCTTTGGAAGCTGTGCGTGCAGTGATAGATGAGTGGCCCGCGAGATTGAAGCAGTGTGTGAAGGCCAAGGGGGGACATTTTGAATAAAACTGTTTGATTATGAATTCTAAAAATGTTGTCGAATAAATAATATCTTTCATATAAATATATCTTATCTTGTTTCATTTTTATCATGAGATTATCATGGGACAGAACTTATGGCACGACTACGTAATGTATACTAAGTGACATATAAATCCGAACACCCAGTTTAAATGGTTTTATTTTAATAAGATTTTGTATAAGTACTTAATGAAGCATAATAAGTAAATGATAAACATTTCAAAATGATTGCACTGCTTTAAAGCCCTTTGACCTTTAATAATGTGTGGATGCACCCTGTGCTATGCATTCTCCAACGCGTCTAGGCATGCTTCTGATCAGGTGGTCAATGTCCTCCTGTGGTATCTCATTCCAGGCAACCACCAACTCCTCTCGAAGTGCTTCTAGAGTCTGAGGAGGACGATGCAAATTGAGCAATCTCCTACCCATCATATCCCACACGTGCTCAATTGGGGATAAGTCGGGTGATCTTGGTGGCCATGGTAACAATGTGACATCATTATGTTGAAAGAAGTCTATTGTGACTCTTGCAACATGTGGTCGGGCATTATCTTGTTGGAAAGTTGGATCTGCCAGGGTGTCAAGATAGGGTAAAAGATGGGGTTCTAGAACTTCGTGGATATAACGCTGCGCGTTCATGTTACCTCTGATGAAGATTAAAGGTGACCTGGAACCGTAAGCTATAGCACCCCAAACCATAACTCCAACAGTGTGATGAACATGTCTTTCAACAAAAAACTGTGGATTCCTCCTTTCACCACGTCGCCTTCTAACCCTGGCACGACCATCGTGCATGCCTAAACAAAATCGAGACTCGTCACTAAAGACAATACTGTTCCATTCCTGATCCCAGAGTGACCGTTGTCTGCACCACTCAAGGCGATTACGTCGGTGTTCTCGAGTTAAAGGGAGGACCCAGCGTGGCCGGTATGAAAACAAGCCAAAACTTTTCATTCGTCGGTAATCACTTCGCATGCCAATAGGTTTTCCGTGTTCTGCAAACCATTCATTTGCAATGGACCTGGTAGTGGAGAAACGGTCCCTTAAGGCCAATAATCTTAGGCGGCGATCTTCACGGTCTGTTGTTCTACGGCGGCGTCCAGTGCCCCTTGCCCTTTGCGTACGGCCTTCTCGAAGCCATGCCTGACAACACCTAACCACAGTGTCTACACTTCTTTGCACTCTAACTGCAATTGCCCGAAAAGAAAGTCCAGCTTCCCGAAATCCCACTATACGGCCCCTATCAAACTCACTAAGTTGACGAAATCGTACAGGTCTCCGTACTCTAGGCATCGTAACCGATCGTAAAGGATGTCAAGAACCAAAATCCGCCAACGTTGATTTTTTTACTGCGGCTGAAATATTCATTTTTAGAGCGTTAGTGAATTAAAAAAAAGCAGTATAAAAACCGGAATGTCCAACTGATAAGGCTGAACATTTTTTCACTTGTTATTTACAGTAAGAAATACATTCACCAACTTTTATTAAAATAAAACCATTTAAACTGGGTGTACGGATTTATATGTCACTTAGTATATATTTCAACAGTTGGCAGAGTTTGCTCCACTGAGACCAAGCGTTGACGGATCCCACAGAATTATGTGTCACTTGTCGATATCGGGAGTTTTGAAATACCAGGAGATAATCAGCTGTTTTCCAAATAATGTCTAATATAACCTAGAATGTGTACTCGGTGAAAAAAGAACATATATGGCAAATCCTAGTTTTTTTGTAGGTTTTACATTTGCTGGTAGCTGTACGACAGATATTTGGGTATTTTTTTATCGCTGTAAATATAGTGTGGATGTTTGTTCAGTTCCTGAACAACGAAAAATATTCAACTTTATGGATGTATAGATATCAAAAATCCTGAATGGTTTCGTGCGAATACCATAATGGTACTGATGAACGGCAAGTAAATAAGTGTTCGGAAACCAGTAATATCTATGAAATTTTTGGTAGTGTTTTTGCCGTCAAGTAGGTGTTTAATGGCTACCTGCAAGAGGTTTATAGGAAAAACACACGCTGATGTTAAATCAGTAAAATCGCATAGAAAATAATATGAACATGAATAAACAGTCAACAATAGTAAAAACATGAATTTTGTTCGAAAATCACACATTTTTTAAATGTTGAGAGAATTATATGTAATTTCTTAATATTCAATAAGCCGGTGATGTTTCAATGACAAGCGATCATCTCATACTTTGGCAATATTTTGTTTTCAATATCTCATAGCTATTGGTTAATAAAATTTGTTGAATGGATCTTGAAGCTCACTCGCTATATTTGATGGATTGTTACCCTATATGTCGAAAATAACAGCTTGTTGATTTGACAATCCTGGTGAAATCCACCCATAGCGTTGTGCATTAATGTTTGTTGTAAAGCTCTCCATTCAGTTGATGTGAAATAAATGTTCATCACACTATCTTTTATAGGGAGGTGAAAAGTGGCCGTGCCAATCCTCTTGTCTTTTGGAATGTTGTCCATTGTATACTCTTTATGTATTTACAATCCAATAAAAGTTATTATTTTGACTAAAGTTCGTATAATTGAGGAAAGCCTGTGGGGTCATAAGAATGACAGAATTGATAAGACATCCCTCTGTCTTGGTTAATAGGGTCTAAAGACCCGCCCCGCCGCCTGTTCGCTAAACATGAAACATCCTCTACAGAAAACAAAACATAATAACATTACCCTCATTAGTAGCGTTTCAGGTATTCCTTCTTTAACATCCTTATAGTCAGCGGACACCTCGACTCCATTTCTTTGAATAGAAGCTCTAACGGTCAGCGGTTGTTTTTCTTTTAAAACTATCGCAGACACCCTGTACAGCTGGCCTGGACGAACGACTTTAGAGGCGACGATGAAGTACGTGCTGAAATTTCAAATACAATCGTCAAAATCGGGGGTAATCTGGAAAGCTGAGCGTAAATGGTGCTAGTTAAGTTGGGATCTTGCCTAAGGTTATGAGCAGGCAAAGATGTTAATTTCAAAACGTGATGAAATGCCGTGAAAATATACTCAGTGACACTAGAAGTGTTATACCCAGAAAAAATGATTTCTTAAACTTTTTTGGCAACATAGTGACTATATTTAAAGCCTGCTGTGGCAACAATGTTTTATCTTTGTTTTTGTTTACCTTTGTTAAAATGTGATCTCTTAGTTTTTGTGAAGAACTGAGTAGTACAGATATTTTTAGTTATTAGCCTTTCATTTACTAGTGTTGATCATAACAAAATGCCTGTTTTATTTGGCTCTCTGTACAATTAATTAGTGTACGTCATTGCTACTAGATCCTTTTCTTTAGTGTGGGTGGTCAAGCAATACAAGTTCCGACTAACGTCTCGGGGATTTGTGCCTTAATTCGTCTTTAGTCACTGCCGCTCTGAGCCCCCCTACTCTCCGTTTTATTGAGCTGGTGCTTAAATTGGCACGCCACTAGACATCTGCTTTGCATTGACTCACCATTTGATTTTATTTATTGTGTTTTGTTAATTTATTAATTAATAACATATATAAAAAAGGGAGGAGGAAATGCGCCACTATTTCCTTTTTAAAAAAGGCATAGCAATTATATATTTCTGAAATCATAATTAGAAATTCTATTCTTTTGCGTAAAAATCCAATATGGAGCATATAAGAAAAAATAACGTTGATGCTGGAGGAGGTCAAGAGATTAGAATTGGCATTGTTAATGTGCAATTTATTTTGAAATCCCACAACAAATAAAGTCAGTTCCCGTCTCTTACAGGAAGTACTTTGAATTTCGAAACTTTATAAGCGGCATTTTATTGATTATCTAAATACGTAACTTCGTATCTCTTGCAGTTTCAGATATCCCAACGGTGGGGGTCGAATTTGAAACACCTTGTATATAGAGTAGATACTTTTAGCAAAGTTGAATTAAAATTCAATGTATATTAGAACTAATCCTATTAATTTCTCATGTACTTACATATTGGCTCATGTTAGGGGGAACATGTACATCTTTGTCATAGTTGATTTTTATAAAAAAAAATTCTCTTCATTTAGTTTCGTGGGGTTTGAGAGAAGGAGGACAACTCCTTCGAAAACGTTCATAAATTACAATACGTACAGCGAGAGCGGAAATAGTGAGAAAAGTGAATGTTTTCATTGAAAAGTCAGATGGCTCGAAAAAAGTGAGTCTCCAGCATCCCTGATATACAGGGTGTTTCAGTTTATTGTTGCATAACTTTATGATTCGATAGAACTTTTAAAATTAATGCATAAAGTCTATATAAACATGGGTCGAAAAATGCGTGGCTTCCGAAATACAGGGTGTTTAAGTTTATTTTCGATAATAGTTTTTTTTTAAATATTTCGAACAATATTTGATGTATAACAGTGAAAATTGGTATACAAGGTTTTTTGGTACGACAAAACGAACCATGGGCATAGTTTTACTGTAGCCGCTAGAGGGCGCTCTCTACTGTACCTGTAGTGTATTAAAATGACCGAAAATTTTTTCTTAGTGTAATTTTTTGTTTTTGAATGATTCTTCACACTTTTCAACATAAAAAAGCTCTCCTGTGAGTTTTCGTTATAGTTAGCCGTTTTTAAGATATTTCGATTTCTAAGGTTCGATGCATTTTTAATTATTTATGATAAAATAACGTTAAAAAGTCAGTATCTCGATAATTTTTAGAAGTAGGCTGTGCCTGCAAATATTTTTGAAATTGAAAACAGAATAAGGTTAAACGCAATTAGTTGACAGTTAGTTTTGTTGTCTGTTGAAACCTGAAACGTTTCTTTGCAATTGTGAATGCACGAAATTTAGTTTTATAAAAATGCCACTTTTATTCTCCAATCAAGAGTTAGCGGATATTCATTTTGTGTAGGGCTTTGTAAATGGAAACGCAGCACAAGCAGCCAGATAATACGCACGAAGATTTCCAAACAGACGACATCCAACTCGCTCAGTATTTGTAAGAGTGCATCGCCAAATAATTGAAAATGGTTTTGGAAATCTCCAAAGGGATCAAAGCATAAATGTTCGTCAGCGCAGATTTACCCGTATAATTCTGCGTGAGTTTGATAGAGATCCGACCACAAGTGTTAGGAGAGTTTCTGGTTTTTGGGAATTTCAGCAAGCCATGTTCACCGTGTTCTTAGAAATGACCATAGACGTCCTTACCATTTGCAACCTGTGCAAGGACTACAGCCAGGGGACGGAGAACGAAGAATCACATTTTGTCAGTGGATTCTTGATAGAACTGATAATAATAGAGAGTTTTTAAGTAACGTTTTATGGACCGCTGAGTCATGCTTCACTAGACGTGGAGTGGTAAATTTTCATAATCGACATATTTGGTCGCATGAAAATCCGCATGCAGTTCGGGAAAGAAATTTTCAGCATGAATTTAGTGTGAACGTGTGGATTGGTATCTACCGTAATCGACTATTTGGACCCTACCTTTTGCCTGCAAGGTTAAATGCTTAGATTTAAGAAAATTGTCCTGGTTCCAGCTTGATGGTTGTCCAGCTCATTATTCGAGAATAGTTAAAACTGGCTGGACGAAAATTATCCAGAAAGAGGGATCGGCCGTGGAGGACCAGTCGCCTGGCCTCCACGATCCCCTGGCCTAAATCCATTAGATTTCTTTGTGTGGGGATTTCTAAAATAAAAAGTGTACCAGACTCCCGTAACCACAAGAGATATGCTAATAGACAGAATCAGGAATGCATGTGATGAAATAAGGCCTTATTTGAATAATGCTATACCACGTTCGATCATTCGTAGATGTGAATTGTGTATTGAACAATTGGGTTTACATTTCGAGCAACTACTTTAGGTTTTGTATGTTTGTCCTAACTATCCAATAGCATTTTAGTTGTAAATAATTAATTTAATTTGTTAAAAATAATATTGGAAAATTAAACAAATTAATATTCTGTTTTTTGTGTTTATTTGGAGTTAGGAATTATCGCTGTGTTTAAAAACACAATCTAAACGATCATCTTAATTACTTGTAATGCCCAAATCGAAAATGTAAAAAAAATATTATTTTCCCATAAATAATTAAAAATGCATCGAACCTAAAAAATCGAAATATCTCAAAAACGGCTAACTATAACGAAAACTCACAGGAGAGGTTTTTTATGTTGAAAAGTGCGAAGAATCATTTTTTTATTCAAAAAGCAAAAAATTGCACTGAGAAAAATTTTTCGGTCATTTTAATACACTACAGGTACAGTAGAGAGCGCCCTCTAGCGGCTACAGTAAAACTATGCCCATGGTTCATTTCGTTTTGTCGTACCAAAAAACCCTTGTATACCAATTTTCACTGTTATACATCAAATATTGTCCGAAATATTTAAAAAAAACTATTTTAGAAAGTAAATTTAAACACCCTGTATTTCGGAAGCCACGCATTTTTCGACCCATGTTTATATAGACTTTATGCATTAATTTTAAAAGTTCTATCGAATCTTAAAGTTATGCAACAATAAACTGAAACACCCTGTATATTCAAAACATCCATGTCTACTATTAAGAGAGTATGTAAAGTCGCAGCCATTTTAGAGCTACCACAGATTCAATAAGTTTAGAGGAGTGGTTATTTTCTTGTTCTTACTGTAAATTACTAACCATATATGTAGATGCAATTATTTTGTATATACTGTATGATGACGCTTCCCACCAGCAATTGGTTTCTAAACTGTTGGTAGTGCAATTAAATAAGTAAGACATTTGTTTACCACGAATAATTACGTACGCTTCTTTGATGATTGTGGAATGGCTTTTTTAACCAAATCGAAATCTCGATATTTTCGGAACGGACAAAAATAACGAGTTGTGGTATTCGGGAGATTCTTGACCAACTCTTTGAGGATACGGCCGAGATATTTCTTTCATTTATCCATTTATGCAGGGTGAGCAAAGGGTCATGTTTTTTAGCAACATTTGGGTCAGTCAGATTCTCAATTTTTGATATCGGAAATCTTTCTATGCATCTTTTTGATCCTTGGACTATTCTAAAAAGAACTTAAAATTTTAAAAAAGTGTTTCCTAACAGAGTGTTTCTCTTGAGAATGGGTATTTTTTTTGATACTTCTGCAGAAAGTGGAATTCCATGCGCCCCATAAAAAATTGAAGCACTCATTGAACGTTATTGCCTCCAGTGGCGTGCAGTAAAAATTTGCTACTTTGACATTATATAATTTATACCGGATATATAAATTTTAATATGCAATTAAACAGCTCTATGAACAAATCCAAGTTACTACTCTCAATACAGGGGTGTATTCCAGAGGCGTAACACCAAAAGCATTTTTTGGTTTGGTAAGAAGTGAACTTAAAAAACTTTAGGAATGAATGTAACACTTTTTTTAAATTCGATAATTTGAGTTATAGCCAAATTTCCAAGGTCAAAAATTGAGAATCTGCGATAGGCCCAAACTTTGCCGAAAAAAAACCTGACTTCGTTTGTTCACCAAGTGGATAAAAAAAGAAATGTACCGACTGAACCCTGTATGTGTTCTCAGAGAGTTGGTCAAAAACTTCAAGAATACCACGACAAGATCTCTTTCGGTTCCGGAAATATCGATATTTGAATTAGGTGGATGCAATTGTTTTGTATTGTATTTACTTTCCACCGGTAATTGGTTGATTATCACGAATAAATACTTACGCTTCTTTGATGATTGTGGAATGGCTTTCGTGGCCTATGTTCGCTCCAAGTTTGTTTCTCCACGAAGGTGTATTGCCACCTCCGAAAGGATCATATTCACCGCTATCCCTGTTTCCATATGCGTCTCCTTGCCCGATGATATCATTTCTGCCTTTTCCGCCGTACAAGTCGTTCCTTCCGAATTGATCGGTTCTACCATACTGGTCTATAAAAATGACAAATATTAGTATGACGTATATTTTATTAAGAACATAGATAATACAGGGTGTTTTCAAAGTTGAGTCATTTATTTTAACTGCTTATAGGACTCATCAAAAGCGTATACCAGAAACAGTAAAAGATTAAGAATTTTGAAAAATAAGAACGTTATTACACAGATTTTTTGGGTAAAATCTTAGCGTTTTTTGCTATTGCTACTCTTCTCTAAATTTGGAAAACTTTTCGTGTTATTGTTTGATTTTCAGTACTTTTAAAAGTGCGTAAACTTTCATTTGTCTGATTATTTTGTGTGAAAACAATGGTCCATGTTTACGAAAACAATGAACCAGTGGATATAATATTAACATACGGAGATTGGCAATAAAATATACTTTTTTAATAATTGTAAACTAACTCTCTTATTATACAACTTTTATATAGGTGATTTTTGGTATATCAACTTATTTTGAATTAAATTAAATCAACTTTGAAAATACCCTGTTTAACAAAACTTAACAGGAAAAATTTAAAAATTGGAGAAAACTAAAAGTGTCCCTAAAACAGACTAATTACGCAACTATATTCAGGCTTAATAAATAAAAAAAAAAAATAGGATTCCACAAAAAAGTATCGACAAATTTTATAACAAAACTAGATAGGTGTTAATTAAGCATATACCATACATTTAACATACGATTCTTCGAGTAATCAGCTATATCCATATCATATGGAACGTGTAGTAGTAGTAGTAGTAGAAAGATTTATTTAGCACATTTGGCTACATAAACAAAATAATTGTACACACCTTAGAACTAGTAAATTCAAGCCATATGGTGTATGATGTAAATGCTGGGCAACCTATAATTGTAGATTTAACAAGTGATTTCTCAATTTTACTTTAAATTTTGTCAAAGTTTTCTGGTCTTTTATCTCCGAGTATAATTTATTATATTCAATCAACCCTTGATGGAATACAGATTTGTAGCATATGTTATACTTTTTGGTCATTAAATGGAAATCATCTTTATTTCTGGTATTATGTAAATGATGGTCATTTGATGATGTTAAATTAGTTAGACTTGATGGAAATATATTATTTTTTACTTTATAAATGAATATCATTACAAGATATTTGATAATTTTTTTTACATTGAACCATTTTAATTTGCTAAGCATTTGCCTAATTGGAGTATATTTATCTTTATTTAGTATTATTCTCATGCACCTATTTTGTAAAATTTGCAGTCTTTCAAAAATGGAATTATTTGCTAAATATAGAATAGTCGAACAGTACAAGAAATTTGGAAGAATGATGGTATTATAGATAATTTTTCTGCTATATGAACTCAGACATCCAGAAACTATCGATAAATATCCCACTTTACTACTAATCTTATTTATAACTTTTTCATAATGAATATCAAAAATTAATCGAGAGTCAACAAAAACCCCCAGGTATTTAAAATTTTCTACGAATTCAATATCTTCACCATCAATATTCAGTTGAACATTTGTACATTGTTTTTTTCCGATTTATTTGCATTAAATTTTAGTCTATTAGATGCTAACCATTTTGAGAGAAGCTTCAAGTCTTCATTTATATAAGAGATACCAGACTGAATATTTTTAGTACTTATATAAATCATAGTGTCATCGGCGAAAATCTGAATTTTGCATTTTTTGACTATGGCAGGTAAATCATTTATGTATAAAATAAAAAGAAGTGGTCCCAGGATACTACCCTGTGGAACACCCCACGAATTTCAATTTTTGATGAAATAGTGTCATTAACTTTTGTAACTTGCATCCTTTTAGACAAATAGTTTCTAAAACAATTTAAAACACTTCCTGTTATACCATATGCCTTCAATTTACCTAACAAAATATCTCTATCAAATTGTTTCAAATGCCCTCTTCAAATCCAAAAATACTGCTATGACAACTTCTTCTGAGTCTATGGCTCTTCTCCAATTCTCAGTTATCAACTGGAAAGCTGTTTCTGTGGAATATTTTTTTCGAAAGCCTGCTTGCGCCTCCACTAAAATTTTGTTTTCTTCTATAAACTACATTAATTGGTCATGCACTATGGACTCTAATAATTTTTCAATGTCTTGTAACACATTTACTGGTATCATATCGCTGGATCTTTTAGAATTTTTTATTTTGGGAACTGGTGATATTGTAGAGCATTTCAAATTTTCAGGAAAAGAACTGCTTCTCAGTGAACAATTGATCCAATTTAATACAGGATATCCCAAAATTTCGAAACAGTTTTTCAGCACGTTTTTAGTAGTGATTTCGGCACAGTTGTTATTTGATTTTAAAACTGTTTACTTTTTTTCTTAGATAATTCAATGATAAGCTGTGACATTTTGAAAGTGTATGCAACATTTCCCCCTGGAAACTGATTTTCATATAGTCAGGTGCAGCATTGGCAGTACCCACAATATCAACAATACTTTCCACAAAATATTCATTTAGTTTGTTTGCAATCACCAAATAATTTGTTTCGGTACCGTTTTCGAATTGAACTTGATTTACACAATCATGCGGCTTCGAATTGATCAGTCTTTTTAAAGTCTTCCACATCTTTACACTGTCGCACTTGTTATTATCGATTTGTTTATCGTAGAATTTCCTTTTTTCTTCTCTAATTACATATACACATTTATTCCTAAGAGTTTTATATACCTCCCAATTATCATTTGATTTTGTGAATATACTTATATTGTATTGTTTGTCTCTCAAATTTTGAGCTGCCTTAATATTCTTGTTATACCAGGGTGTATTTTTTGTCGAGCAAATCACTTTTTTATCAGTTGCAAGATCTAAACAAGTTTTTATATTTCCTATTATGTTGTCATATATTTTTTCCATATTCTCACCAAAATTCCACTAGCAGCCAGCAAGTTCTCGTTCAAGATTTTCATACTTACGATTTTCTTAATTTTTGTATCAGAAAAATGCCCTATCAAGGGCAGCATTGTCCAACTGTGATCGCTAACTTTAGGTGTATGTACAGCTTTAATCCTTGCACATTCGAAATTTACAATAACAAGATCTAACAAAGTCTGATAATGATGTTATTCTGGTACTCTCTTCAATTTTTTGGTTGAACCCATAGTTGTTTATGGTTTCTTTCAATTTTCTTGTTTTCATGCTTTTACCATAATAATTTAAATTAAAATCACCTAAAAGTATTATATTGTTTCTAAAATTCCACATTTCTTCGCATTTTTCTTCAAAAAACGTTAAAAATGTATTCGCATCACTGTTTGGTGAACTGTAAAAAGTGCAAAGATCATAACGTTTCCCAAATAATTTGAACTGTATATGTGCATACCAGTATGCATAGTCTAAAGTGGTACAATCGAATAATGTGATCTGTATTTTGTGGTAAACATAAATCACTACACCTCCAGTATGTCTGGAGTTGGAGTTGCATCTGTAGGTTTTATAATTAGTAATTTGTAATTCACCATTAGTGATGTCTTCTGTAGCATGTGTTTCGCTAAGACATAATACAAGTGGTTTACTCCTTCTTAAAAACTGTTGAACTTCATCTATATTATTCAAGACTCCTTGTATGTTTAAATGGTATATTCATCACTTACAGATTTAGCCACGTCTTGCAAATCTGAGCTTAGTAGTTGCTATTCATTTGCATAACTAATTTTTTCCCTCTCAATTTGCCTTTAAGACTAGCTTTTTCTGATTGGTTAAGCTGTGAAATGATAAGGAATCCAGGTTTTCTAAGTGGAGTACTGTTCACAGATGAAGCTTGTTCTTCTCGCAATTCAATTATCAACTTCCACAACAATCACATTTGGGCCGAATAAACAAGCCACATGCCTTCATAGAACATGATTTAAACGTGAGAAAGAAAAATATAATATGTGACTTTGACATAATCCATTTCAGTGTTTTAGGTAAACATGCTTTATAAGAGAATTTACGTTTTTGAAAATATCCTGTGAAATCCACTAGCGTTGTACGATTATTTATTAGTAAACAATTTCTACTACCTTTCTTGTCTCTTGTCAAGCATTAAAAAAATATTTTTTAAATAAAGTTTTCATCAAAGACGATGACTTTATGTTATAAATATGGGGTTGTCCAAAACGGACGCAGGAAAGTAAACGCATATTAAAACAAGAAAGATTGATATTCAAATCAAGTTGGCTACTTTATTTTGAAGGTTCATTTATACCATTTATGTATGAAATATAATATCGCTCAAATGTTCACCACGACTGGATTTACAGACGTCCACGCGATGGTCGAAATTTTCAATGACATTTTGCAACATGGTCGGTTCTATGGCATTTATCTCGGCAATGATGTTGTTTTTGAGTTCTTGGAGGGTGGCTGGTTTGATGACGTAGACTTTGCTTTTCAAATATCCCCATAAAAAGAAGTCCAACGGAGTCAAATCGCACGATCTTGGTGGCCATGGCACATTTCCTCTGCGCGAAATCACGCGATCACCGAAGAAGGACTGCAATCGATGGATATTGACGTTGGTTGCGTGGCATGTTGCGCCGTCTTGTTGGAAATAAACATCGTCCATATCCATTCCTTCAAGTTGCGGCAAAAAATAGTCCTCTATCATCACGAGATATCGCTCAGAATTGACGGTAACGGCGTCCCCGGCCGCATTTTCGAAAAAGTAAGGTCCGATGATGCCTTTTGACCACAATGCACACCGCACAGTCACTTTTTGAGGATGCATCGGCTGCTCTTGATACTCACGGGGATTTTCGTTCGCCCAGATGCGGCAGTTTTGCTTGTTTACCGTCCCATTCAAAGTGAAATGCGCTTCGTCGCTGAACATGATTTTTGATGAAAAATTGGCATCAATTTGGCGGTGTTCAAGGAGCCAATCTGAGAACGTTCGGCGCGAAAAATGGTCGGCCCGACGCAGCTCTTGCGTCAATTGGATCTTGTAGGCGTGTACATTCAAATCCTTGTGGAGAATGCGGAGCAAACTAGTTCTCGAAATGCTCA